GTTTGTCTTTAAAAATTTTCTTACCCCTATCCCTTTGAGGGCTCTCTCTCTCTCTCCTGCATGCACACACACATACACACCCTTCTGAGGTGTTTCTGACATACCCACCCTGGGGGGTGGTGAGGCCTAAACGATCCCTAAGAACCCATTATTACCTATATCTGCTTTAAGTCACGTGCATAAAGAACACCCTCGTTTTTATTTTAAACCCCACTGTTGCAATTTGGCTTAAGAAAAGGCCAGAATAAGAAGTAAATTTTAGCCATTTTCAACAACTGTAAGAAATTCTGCTTCTGTTAGATAGATTGTACTTCAGCAATTCCTAAATAGTATGTAAATATGAAAAGTTCTGTCCCGCACGCATCAAGTGAACAAAGAGTATGTTTTGTTATTCCTCGTGTGTTTCTTCTATTTTTGAACACCTTAGGTTATAATCTCTCTTCAGGCTCGCCTTCTGCAAATCGCTGGGCACAGAAACCTTATTGCAGATGTGAAAAACTGGCAGAGAACCCTGTGAGTCAGATAATCCCCAACGTGAAGACGTGCTTTGGAAGGTTCGTCTGTGAGTACATTTCGGCCTTCTGCTTAGGTCAGTAATGTTCGTTGAGGGCCTGCTATGTGTGCGGCTTTGGACACTGGAGTTTACAAAGATGACTAAGACATGGGCACAATAACTGATAAAATCTAGTTTTCTTGCTGGTTCAGATGTTGGAGGTAGCAAATTCATGTGAGAAGTTAAATGTAGAGCCAGTTTTTTACTGACATATCATTGACAATGTGATGTTATATTAGTTCCAGGTATACAACATAATGACTCAGTATTTGTGAAGCGATCCCCACAATGAGTCTCGTTAACGTTCAGTCTTCTTAATTACTGAGCCAACAGTCATTAAAGCCAGTTCTACTGCACAGGTTTCCTGTTTGTCCTCTGACTGTGAGGAAGAAGTCACCCAATAGGTTTCCACAGAGGGACCATGGCGATTTAGGGGAGGCCTGCCTTGCTCTGTTGAGGTGGTTTAGGTATGTTACAGGAGGAGTTTCTCTACGGCGTGAGTGGCTAGTCTAGAGGGTTATCGAAGTACACTCTAATATTTAAGTCAACAATTTCATTACAATCATTATTCAGGTGATTAAAAGGAGAAAATGCCCATCCCTTGAAGGGTTTTGTTTTAACCAGGCTTCTGCCTTTCTTGTATATTTATTACTGGCCTATAAGTGGTTTATCTCTGGACTGGGGTGTGCAAGTAGAGGACCATCATAACATTTGAAAAATGCACCCCCCCCCACACACTGCAACAGTGATCTCAGTCATTTACTGTTTCATACCTTCTTGACTGCTGCTGCCTAAATGTCATTTTCCATGTGGCTGGTTAGAAATGCAGGCTGTTTCAACAGAAAAAGAAAGAGGAAATAGTTTCCTGTTTCTATTATAATATAAACTGTTAAAAATTGCAAGCTGCTAAGCAGTGCTGAATTTTGCTGTTTTGATGAGAATGTGATCAAAGGGAAACAATGCCTTGCTCATCACCTTTTTTCCCGTGTGTTCTCTCGGGGTTGCCAACATAGCAGATGATCAGAATCTTGATTATGTTTTTGACTTGAGGATGTAAAAAAATACTCATGTTTCCTCAGGTGATTTTAGAGGGCAAATAACCAGAAGGGCAAATAATAGAAAATTCACAAGAAAAGGGGAAAAACTGATGATGTTTTATTTAGCCATTTTATGAGGCCTACTTAATCAAAGCACTTATATAACAGATTTGAATGATATTAATTATATATGATTAAAATGTTGTCTAGAAACTGCTTCTCCATTTCAGTTTGATTAAGAGCTACAAAATCATATGCAAAGCATTTATAAAAAAAAAAGCTATTAGGTGCTAGCTCTTCCACATATATTACTCATAGTAAATAGAACACTTAGAGATGAGATCAAGTTACTAGATCTTGCAGAAGGTTTCGAGGTAATAAACCTAAATTTTCATAGGTAGAGCAAGAACCTAACCCCAGGTCTGCCCTCACTACAAAACCCATGCTCTTCATAGGACATCAAGACAGCCTGTCCTTGGGTAAGCGTGGTTCCCTTCACACCCAATGCATACAGTGATTTTCTCAGGATATTAGGTACTTCCTGAAAAATCCCTTGAGCATACGAATATGTGGGGTGGTAAAAGGATGGGAAAGATGGAGAGAAGAATGTGAGCAAGAAGTTGGTTCTGTTCTAAATATTCCCGACTGGGGGGATAGCATAATACTTCTAGCTTTCCTTCCTGCCTCTTTGAACACTGTAGAATTTTAGACAGAACAAATAACATTTCCCCAAACAAATTAAGTATATTGGTTCATTTGATGGTGTTAAATCCGACTCAAACATTTTATGATTTTGTTGTTGTTGTTGTTGTTCATTGTGGTTTATTCTGCTAAATGAGTTTTTTTCTAATCTGTTTCTTATTTGTCATATGAATAATAGAATGTGCAATTTTGTTTTCCAAATTGTACTCTTGGCCTAGTGGTAGGGGTGGTTATGGTGATGGTGAGCTGTGTGTATGTGTGTGCGTGTGTGTGAGTGTGTGTGTGTGTGTTGGGGCACGGTTAAGGTTACAACATTTCTCCTGAAACTTAAAGGCTCGGGACTACATATAAGTAGAATTGATGGCTACCTGTATAATGTGAGTGGTATTGAAAAGAAAATGTGTGGAAAGAAATATTTTCTTTTAAATCTAGCTAGTACTTGTGGCAATTTGTTATTATTAATCTTTATTCCATAATGGGAGTTGTAGGGAGGTGTGGACCAAAAAGATTGGCAGTGGTATACACTAAATTGAACATTGGTGAGTCAAAAGTCAGGAAGGGCATGGAAACAGGACTCCATACCCTGAGCAGAACTAATATGGGTTAGTTCCAAGTTTCTGACAAAGTCAAAAGCCAAGAAATCTGTGACCCCTCACTGCTGTTAAGTTGACTCTGTCCTGTAATGACCTTACTATGAGGCTCATAGGGACACAGGTACAGTGCACACAGCAAAAAGGGTTCATGGTACCCACATCTAAGATAAGTCTTTATTACTTAACCAGTTTTTGACTGAGCTCGGCTACCTTTATACTCTTCTGGCCTATGGGAGCCAATCCTGAGTGAGCCTGACTTGGAGACTTATTAGTGCTAAGATTAAATTTCTTGCTAATTAGGTAGGAATAGGAGAGAGGATTTTGTTCTTTATCAGAGCCATTTCTGAAATCCATAGATGTAATATAGTGTTTCAGAATATTTAAAAAAATACTATTTGAAAGTCAAAATATGGCCTTTAAACTACCTTTTCTGGAAGGGATCCTCAACATTTTTATGAGGATGGTTTTCCTTTTCTCAAATCCTGTGTCATCAGATTGTAGGGGAAGCCAATGCAGAAGATGAAGACAAAATGGATTGCTACCTGGGAGCCAGGTTACCTGGCAGAGGAGTGTCTTGGGACTGGGGGTCCTTTCAAACGCTTGGGGGTGGCTTTGGAAGAGTGAAAGCTTGACCTCAGACACTGGTTGGGAAAACAAACAGGCAAGGCTTTGCGGGTCTACACCATCAAAATAAACTGTTGATGTGAATTAGTGAATCCATGAGCAGACAGGCATAGAACATGAAGACTAGAAGCTTCTCTTTGCTGGACACAACTGTTCTGGGCTCATGAGAACTTGGGTACTTGTCTCTGAGCACGTGAGGTCAAACTTGTAAAATAAAGCATGATCTTGTGTTCTGTTAGCTAGCCTCAAATTGGTTAAGTGCAAATTTGAAATGGTTTTGCTTTGCTGTAATTATTATTGATTTTGACTTTCTTTTCCTGCCCAATAGCATCCCAAGTGACATATTGGACCAGATCCAAAATCCCTCAGTCACTTCTAGCTTAAAAAAAGTCCAATTTAAAATTCTAATATCTTATATAACAAATCTTATAGCTCTGATAACTTGGAGTGGGAAGGGTTGTATTACTTTTGAGACTTTTTGTCTTTCTAGTTCTTCATATTATTGATACTGGTAAGTGAAGAGGAGAAAGGTACTAGTGTCTTTTTCTGAACTGGCTGCTGTGTGGCTTTGTCATCTTACTGCTAGTCTGGATAACACTGTCTAGCAACTGAAGACCTTTGTGCAACAGGTGTCCAAAGGCTGGGTCTCTGGAAGTGCATGTGTATTTGGGATGACCAGTTGTGGAAGGTGTGTGTGTGGTGGGACTTGTACAATTGTTCTGGGAAAAACTGCCCCTGGTTTAGGCTCAACTTCTTTGAATGCACCTTCCCTGGCAGTCAGCCTTCCTAGATCTGGTACTGCCAGGAAAGCCTGTGTCCAGCTTTGCTCTGCTTTGTCCATGTGACTCTAAGGAGCACACACTTGTTTGCACCCCTAGTAGAGGATGTTCAGGCTCTCCATAGTTTCTTCTTCTCTCTGCCCTGCTTTTTCTTGACAGTTTTCTTCCCCTGGTTTTATGGAAATGGGGTGGCAGGAGATCTCTAAGTTCTAGGCATAAGCAGACATTTTTGGAAAATGAGATTATGGCCTCCTCTCAAAATGTCCCATCTCTCTGAATGATTCCCTAAGAGTCTGCTTCCTTCTTCACTGGGGGAGTGATTACATTCCACTTATGTTTCTTTACTGCCTTCTAGGCAAATAGCTGAGGATGCCCGGCTTCTTTCTTCTGTCTAATCCTGTTCATCAGCTAAAGGAAGTGGTAGGGTTGGAGATTAGGATTGATGATTTGGGAATACCGGGGTAAGTTTAGTTGTTCCCTAATGAACTTTGACACAGATTTCTGACTCTTGATGTTGGCCATTCTGTTTAAAATGTGGCATGTTCTGTGCCTCTTTATTCTCAGCTTTGGGTCTTAGGTGTTAATTCAGGGGCAACAGAAAATGTCCCCACTCAACCTCCTATTATACTGTTTTTGTTTTCCTATTATTATTTTTTCAGAACCTACCCTCAAAACCTCCAAATAGGAAATAAAAGAACATAGCTAAAGCATAGCTATTAACAAGAGGACCATGTAACTGATCATCCAAAGACAATACTGTTGAGGGTGAAAGGGATTCACTAGGCCAGGTGAGATGCCAGGACAAGGCATGTTGACATGGTCATTCTAACTATTGATCCCTTGGATGTGTGGTTCTTTCCAGCATGACTTTACATAGTTGTGCTGGTGTGAAGATAAGGAAGAGCAGATATGTCTTGGTCCTCAGAAGGAGGCAGGTTTTGCAGGTGTTTATGGCTGGTGAAAGTCATGTTCTTTGGGGTATCTTCTCAGTTTTCACAGGAGGTTAATAACAAGATTTTTCACATGAGGTTATAAAATTACAGTATACATCACTTGTTCTGTAACGCAATTCCATAAACACTTTTGATGCATTTTCTAGGTGCCAGGCTATAAAGATGGCATCTAGATGGATTATGAACCCCCCCCCAAAGAATTTATGATCCAGTGTTGGAGAATAATGTAAACAAACAACTTTAGCACAGTAGGATAGCAGTGCCTTAAATAAAGGAGGAGGGGAGAGTTTTTAAGCTTGTTTTTGTTTCAAATCCGTTAAAAGGCAAGTTTTTGTTTTTTTTTTTTGAAAGAGGGAAATTTTGCAGTATCTTGTAATAGTTTGGTGAGTTTTTTTTTTTTTACAGGTGTTGACAAAGTTATAGAATAAGAAGTAATCACATAATAGAATGACATTTCACAAACTGTGCTAATATGAAGATTTATATTTTCAATCTCTTTGTGCATATAAACAAGGATGAACAATTTTGTTTAGGACCATTTTTATGTGTCATAATAGTAAATTTGGATAATGAATAATATTATCTCTGAAGAGAGAAATGAATGCAAAACACACACAATGTAACCTTGTTCGGTTAATCAATGTGTTAAGTCATTTTTTCATTATTCTCTCAAAGCATTAAGATAATTTAAAAATTTTATCTTTAATCTGAACTCAGTAGAGACTTGCCAAAACATCAGGAAGTATGTCATGTAGTAAGTTGGTATAATTTAAAAATAAAATACTTCAAAATCAAAAATAAGTAAGCAATAGCAATTCATTATACCTTAATCAGTAAGGTGTACTAGAAACTTTACAAGAATCTCAGGCTAGTTTTCTTAGTTGTATAATGCTTAAGAACATTTTGGACAAGACTGAGAGATCAATTTTTAAATAAAATCTTGGTTGCACAAACAGGACAAGCAGCAGCTATACCCAAACATTAGACTTGGAAATAAATGGTTTTTGGTTTTCATAGAAAGTGGACGAGAGGCTGGAAACCAGTAGTTATTATTAAATAGTTGATAGTCAGTGAAGTTATTATAAAATACATAGAGTAAATGTGTTTTGCTTCATTAGAAATGCAACTGAAATGTAATGCCTTGATGCATAAGTATTATTATTATTATTACTGTTATTATTCAATATATATTTAAATCCTCACCTGAGGATACTTTCCCATTTATCTCCAGATTGGCGGGGGGGGGGGGGGGAAGAGAGAGAGAAACATCGATGTGAGAGAGACATATTGATTGGTTGCCTCCCACATGACCCCAACCAGGGCTGAGGAACAAACTGCAACTGTAGTAAGCGCCCTTGACCAAAATTGAACCCGTGACACTTCAGTCTTTGGGCCATCTCTCCAACCACTGAGCCAAATGGGCCAGGGCCATAAGTTTTGTTTTAATTTTTTTATGCATATAAATATTTTTGCATTTTTCTATTAGAAAATAGAGCTTCTATTTCTATAGTGTTATGTATTTTCCTGACCAATATTTGGTGTACATGATCTACTTATTCAATTAGTCAGGTAATTTGATGGAAGAAAGTTGAAATTAGTTACTAGCCTAGTTTCTTCCTATATGTAGTAATAAGCTGCACATTCTAGCGTGAATCACTTTAACTTTCTGTCACTCACTTTTCAAGACACAAATATGCTGTCTCAGTTGAAAATCTTTTGCTCTGCAAAGCATTTTGCAACCATTTTTCTATTTTATTATTTCAAATATCTCTAGACTATGTAAATATAATAGTTTCTTTGTTTGTCTTTTTCCTCTCCCTGAAGCAGAGAGAGGTTAAGGCAGTGCCTTAACCTATCCACTCAGAAAAGGTAGGAGCAAGGACCGGAAGGCAGAACTTGTGGTTCTCATGCATTGGCACATGCCCAGTCCACCATGGCGCTTCCGCCCAACCCAGGGGCTAGGGAAGAGGAATTATGGAAGAATCCGTATAACAAACAAAATACTATCCATATACAATAATGAGTTTATGGGTTGCTCTTATAGACACATGTCATCTAATCTTTTCAATAACTCTATAGGCAGGCATGAAACATGTATTTTATAGACAAGAAGGTTAAGCTCCTAGAAACTGAAGTGACTTCTCCAAGTTGGCACAGAGAGTGAGTGTTAGAAAGGAAATTTGAATTCCATGTTTTCAATTCCTGGACCAGTTGAAGTTACTATCCATTACAAATGAGCTACCTCTTTGATTCAGTCTTGGGTCTCAGCTTCCTCTTCTGAGAAGTGGGCTGCTTGCTGATGCTAACTTTAGTAGTAGTGTACAGAGAGACAAATTCACAGTTCTGATTCTTACTGTTTATACCCATTCCAACACGTGTATCTTTCATTAAATTTAATTCCCGTAACTTCAAAATTTTGGATTTGAACAAGTTTAAAAAAATCTAAATGACAGAAGTCCTTGGACATTGTCAATGTCTCTGAGTCTACCCAGTAAGCCCAAGCAAATCCTCATTCAGTTAACATACTTCCATTGACATTTAGCTTAAATGCTTCCTTTCCATAGGTGCATATGTTTATAGTATGCAATGTGATTTTCTTTTCCTTCCTCCTTATGTTTTCAATGGCATTAAAAATATCTCAAATACAGTTTGTAAGGTGTCAGATTTCATCACAATGTCTTGAAGGCATAAAATTCACAGAGCCACCACCCAATGCCAGGCACTGTACTAAGAATTTGAGAGGAAGTAGAGAAAGACAAATCTCAGTCTTTGGGATCTATGGAGAAAGAGACTTATGAACATGACTACAATACTATGCAAGTCCTGGAATGGAGTTGCTTATGAAAAGCTAAGGAAGGAGGAGAAGGTATTAATATGTGAACACGACTTGAAAGTTAAGTAGAAACTGGATAAGTAGACAAAAGGGAAGGAACATTAGGATATGCGTAGCCAGTGGATACAGACAGTAGACAGGTGAAGGCCTGGGGTGGGGTGGAAGCTGGGTGGAGGAGGCAAAGAGGGGAAAATGGGGGAACATCTGCAATACTCTCAACAATAAGATAAACTTTTTTTTAAGAAAGAGAGAGGACCAGGTAACCAAGTTACACATAACAAATTATCACATGAAAATGTGGCTTACTTCAAATCATTAAAAACAAAAAAGACAACTTTAAACTTATATTTTTTTTGGAAAGAATTATTATACAGTATCAGTACAACCATAGAGATAAAGCACCCCTCTTCCCCCTGACACACACATGTATGCGCGCGCATGTACTATTTCTTCCCATGAACTGTTTCTTTCTGAACTTTCCTTCGAGATACATACATATATATGGCTATCATCTTACCTTAATTGTCTTTAAAAACATTTACAGAAAAATTAGTTGTTATGTTATGGAATTTCTGTTGAGTCTTTCTAATATTTACTAGTTATAAACACAAAGCATGACATTAGGAATCGTTTAGTTCAACCATGTCACTTTGCCATAGGGGACACTGAGGTCCTGAGGGATTAAAATGTTGGTGCAGGTCATCCATGCAGTTAATGACACACTCTCTGTCTCTTGCTGCCCAGGCCCATGATATGATAATTTTCTTTGACTTTATGGAGTCAGGCTATCTCAACCAACCATCAAAATGAAAAAACAAAACAAAACAAAATACTCCATAAGTCTTTCAGTGTGTTATTAAGATTTTTTATTCTCCTTTATTTTATTTTATTTTTTTTGTACATGCCCCTAGCGGGAACTGAACCCAGGACTCTCTGGTCTGCAGGCTGATGCTCCAACCACTGAACCAAACCAGCCAGGGCATTATTAAGATTTTTCAAACAGATAACAAAGCAATGTACTGGTGGTCTTGAATTTATGCCTATTCCCTAAATTCTGTTTTTGTTTGTTTGTTTTGTTAATCATCACCTGAGGATATATATTTTTTGATTTTTTAGAGAGAGTGGAAGGGAGAGAGGACACAAGGGTGAGAGAGAGAGAGAGAGAGAGAGAGAGAGAGAGAGAGAGAGAGAGAGAAGCATTGATGTGAGAGAGACACATCTAATGGTTGCCTCCTGCATGGTGTGTCTGGGATTGAACCCAAAACCCAGACATGTGCACTTGACCAGAAATCAAACCTGAGACCTTTGGTCCAAGGACTGACACTCTAACTGCTAAGCCAAACAGGCGAGGGCTCTAAATTCTTTTTTTTTTTTTTTTTTCAAAACTCTCTGAAACTGGTAGAAGGCTTTCTGAAATGTAATGGTTCTATAAATGTTCCTATTTGTTAGACATATTCAAATAATGAAACCAATCACCGAATTGGTGGTAGAGATCATTCCCAATAGAAATGGGTAGAGATCATTCCCAATAGAAATGGGGTATAGTGAGTGTGTATATTGAGTAATTATGGCATTGATGACTCATTAAAATGGATAATTGGAATTCATTGAATGAATTTTTCTCAGTAAATTTTCTGAGATTTGCCCATTAGAGTAATATAACCTAGAAATACTGTAGACAATTCTGCATTAAATCTGTGTTCATTTTGAATAACAAATAATTCTTCTTAAAATTACTTTCTTAGGTGATGAGAAGTTTGTTTTGCAAGAATATCATTAACAATATACTTTTTTCCCTTTAGGAAAAGTAAGATTTGCATATATTGAAGTTAACAGTAATTTCTTAAACATCTGTCTGGTTCAAAGGCAAGCCATTAAACTTAATTTATTATTTTTATGTAGCTTTGAAAAAACCCAGAGAGCTCAGAACAGTAAATTTCTTTAACGGAAAAAGGAACAAATTAGAGGAGCCCAAAATACCAAGGTGGGCTGTGGAGTATTGGTAACGTGGCCCTTGCCTGAGCATTGACATCTTTCTCTGGCTTAGCCACATCTATTAGGTGTGACAAGTTGGACCTATAAGAGATCATCATAAACTTATGTTACCTATAAGAGGTCACCAATAAACTCATCCTAATTCTTGACTAAAAAGAACTTATTCTCATGGTGGTGATTATGACCTTCACAGCAAGTGGACTCTCATCTTTGCTGCTTATTTCCTTCGAAAATCTAAAGTGTTCATTGATGAGAAAAAGAAATCCATAGTCTGAAAAATCTGTGGGTCCCAGTGTCCCCCCATATCATATGACAACTAAACAACAATGAAAGAATGTTAAAGAACTGCAGAGGTTTAAGGTGCCACCAAATGACAAATGGTCACCCTGGCCGGTTTGGCTCAGCGTTAAAGCGTGAGCCTTCGGTCCAGCTAAGGGCATGTATCTCGGTTGCAGTTTGTCCCCGGCCCTGGTTGGTCGTGTGGGTGGCAGCCACTCGATGTGTCCCTTTCACATCGATGTTTCTCTCTCTCTCTCTCTCTCTCTCTCTCTCCCTCCCACTCTATCTGAGCAAAAGAATGGAAAAATGTCCTCGGTTGAGGATAAAAAAAAAATGACAAATGGTTACCTTTTCCAACAAATACTTTTTTGTATCGAGTGGAACATTTCTACATAGACTAGACCACGGAAACCTGGTGTGTGGAAGTGCTTCTGCTACATGTTTAGTGTTTATGTCTTTGAATGATCAACAAAGAATTCTGATTTCCTTTAAAGGTGGTACAGCAAAACCCACGTGGTGCAAAAATTGGGTTCCATATTGATTTCCTTGTACATTTTGAATTTTACATATTGAGATTATTTTTCATCTCTGATTTTTTTATGTTGTCTGAATGTTTACCTTGAAATGTGTGTAAGTTATCAATTTGGGTTGTCTTCTGTATTAAAATGCCATTTGTGTGAGTTTTCTTAACAAAATCTAGCAGCCCATAGAATGTTTATCACTCTGACGAGTGTTAGGAAGGATGTATTTGGCTGCTGGGAGCCCGAGGAAGTACAGCACTTTTGCCGTCTTCTGTCTCATGCTTCATTTTTATCACAGTGACTTGCCTGTGGCATGGTTTTATTTCAGTTAATCCTATTTCTTTTAGGACCTGAACCTATGCTAATTGTCACGGCTCATCAGTTCTACAGCAAATGCAGGCAAATCAACAAAAGAAATGCTCTTTCAAAGGAATTCTCTTGACCATGTGTTTTTATATACAGTAATGTGGTTGACAAGTAAAACAATCTGACAAACAGAGTGCTTAGTCCAAAAGTGTCACATATCTTGACATTAATCTGTATATCAAACATTTTATATGTCTAACAAGACAGGTTTTTATTCTTTAGTATTTAATAGTGTTCAAAAAATACCCCTATCTAATGAGTTAATGTTCCAAGCAATATTAAGAATCTGAATAAGCAATAAAATTTAACAAGGAAGAGTTGATGTACATAAACAATATTTGCTAGACAGGTTAATCCCCTGAAGAGATCTTTTTGGGATAGACAAGGATGTCTCTCCTTTATCCTCTAGCAGAAGGAGAGAAAAATCTCTATGAACGATAAGTTACATGCAGATATATTAGTGTCATTGAGATGACAACCTCACCAACTGGATTAGACTGGTATTACCCTTGACCCCATCACTGTGCATGCATGAAACTTAAGTAATCCAAGGTACATTTAGGAGTGAAAGTTAATGTAAAAGCTTCCAGACCTGTGGACTCCTAGAACCAGGGAATACAACTGGTAGACAAACCACAGCAGTGTGCTGAGTCAAAAGCTGTCTCAGGGTATGCTGCTACTGTTACAATTATTATTATTTCGTTAGTACCAGTTACTCTACAGAATAGCAGCTTTATAAGGCATTGTGTGTGTGTGTGTGTGTGTGTGTGTGTGTGTTTATGTATGGATGTATGTATGCATGTATGTAAAATCTCTTTTAATCCTTAAAGAGTCCATATTTTTTTTTTTTTTTTAAAAGGAGACTGAATCTCAGAAAGATGAAGTGAATCTCTTAAGGTCACAAAAGTTAGTAAAGGTGCAGAAAACTAAACTGTCTCTGTCTTCGTAGTTGATTTTCTCAGCAGTGGATATCACAGGGTATTCAGTTGGAGGAAGAAATGGGACATGAGCAGATATTTTTTCTTCATAGCAAGGGCTTGAAAACCTCTTACTGTTTTTCCTGAAGTGTCTTTCTTCCAGAACGAATCTGTTAAACGTTTCTACTTAAACAGCAATGATACATCTAACTCATTTTAATGAAAGAAACATTGTAGAAAGCGGCATTTCTTCTTTTAAACTTAGGCATTTTAAGAGCTGGGTTTTCTAAAATCAATTGCTATACTAGTCTAAAAAAAGGAATGAGTTGTGTAAACAGTGCATTTTCTGAGAAAGGTCATTATAAGCAGTATACAAAATCACAAGCAATATGTCTATAGTAAACTTTTTTGTGTTTAGCCTGAAAAGGCTTCTTGCAAAGACAAGCAATATCTGAAGCGACATATCCCTAAATCTGTCCTCAGAATTATCGCGTGAAACCCTGTGGTGGGAATTTAGTTTCTTACCAAGATTTAATGCAGCTGAGTGCCAGGCACATTTGGAATAGAGCTGTGCTGTGGCTCTTGCAGGAAAGGTGCCCTTGGTGGTGTATTTCCTCGGGCAGCCTGCCGTTTTTGACCACAGGTGGTCATTTGATATAATGTGCTAATCTGGCAGGCTTCCCATGAGGACCAGTCGTTTTACACAGACTCAGCATATTCCCCTCAATGCCTGTGCCTTTAATAAGGTGCCATTCAGTCAAATGAAACATCCTAGTGGAAGAGAATTTAGAGGGAACAGAACATCACAAAGAATTCTGGGAGCTGTGGGGTATATTCTCTGTGCTCATCATCTGGGTGAAAAAGTGTAGTAGACTTGAAACTAATACAAAATAATATAGAATATCAACTGTAATTGAAAAATAAAATTAAAAAATAAAATAAAATGGCCCTGGCTGGTTTGGCTCAGTGGTTAAGAGAGTCAGCCCATGGATCAAAGAGTTGTGGGTTTGATTCTGGTCAAAGGCACGAACCTCAGTTGTGGTTCGGTTCCCAGCCCAGGTCAGGGTCATGTGGGTGGGCGACCAGTCGATGTGCCTCTCTCTCATCGATGTTTCTCTCTCTCTCTCATCCTCCCTCCCTCCCACTCTATCTGAAGATAAATGGAAAAAAATATCCTCGGGTGAAGGTTAAAAACAAAGAAAAGAAAAAAGTAAAAAGAAAAATAAAGTAAAAGTATAGGAGGAAGAATCTGCCAGTTTATTAGAAGGACCCAGAAACTTTAGGATATGAATTAAGTATCTGTTTATATGAAAATAATTTACTTCTAGAATATGGCTCATATAGAAATTCAAGATCCACCATGAGCCTGGCTGGTGTGGCTCGGTGGTTGAGTGTCGACCTATGCACCAAGAGATCACTGGTTTGATTCCTGGTCAGGGCACATGCCCAGGTTGTGGGCCAAAAACCCAGTGGGAGGCATGCAGGAGACAGCCGATCAATGTTCTCTCTCATTGATGTTTCTATCCCCCTCTCCCGCTCCCTTCCCCTCTCTCTAAAATCAGTAAAGAAAAACAATTAAAAAAAAAGAGATCCAACTTGAATGACTGTAGGAATGGTGTGGAGTGGTCAAATGGATTGCTCCTCTCCATACCTAGCCCCAGAACCATTCACTGAACTATAAACTCCTCAGAGTTGGGGACACATCTTGTTCTCAGATGTAGCTCTCCATGTTCTAGTACAGTGCCTGGAACATAGCACTAAAGAAGTGTTCGTTGAAAGATTAATAGAACCCTGGCTTGGAATTTAGATCCTTGAATGCTAAAAATACAATGTTCCCAGTTGCCAAAGTGGTTAGACTCTTCATACCTTAGTAGATACATGCTGTCATAGAAATGGCTAATTTCACCTTTCACCTGAATAGTTGGATATTGCTTAGTCTTAACACTCTATGTATATTTTTAACCTTGGGTTCTTTTGACAACTTTTGATATTACCTTAAGTTATCTCGAGAGAGAAAATGACAATAATGCTTAATTTTTATTTTGTTTTCCTCTTCTCTGGCAAGAAGAATGACCTCATTACTATAGACGTTAGAAGAAACACGAGTAAGGGCCACCGAAGCTCCCGAGAGACGGAGCCGTGGTAAGAAAGCACCATCCATAGGTTTTCAGTGCTGTCTGGTCTGTGAGCACAAATGCATTGCGTCTGTGGATAGTGAAATAACATTAGATGTGGTTGGACAAACTCAGTAATTTCAGAAAAATGACACAGATGTGATCAGTTCTGGGAGATTAGAGATAGTGTCTTAGTTTTGATTCTCCCCAAAGCATACCTGGAGATAAGAATTTGAGGTGCAAGTAGGTTTTTGGGGAGTGATCCCAGGAAATACAGAATGGGACTGGAAAAGTATGATGAAGAAAAGAAATAAAGGTACATTGATTAGAAGAAACAAAGGTAATTGTTCCTTTTGGAAATTACGCTCATGCCATTTAAGTCCTTCTGAGAGACTGTGGAACATATCTCCGAATTGTCCAGCTGAGGGAGAATCAGCTGGGGTATTTATCCACCAAACTTCATCCCTCACCAGGATGCCTTGGGGCATAAGCCCTCTGGCAAATTCTTTGTGCCTTGCTCTTGGGTTTGGGCAGGCTTCGTTGGCAGAGAATGCCCTGTGGCAGATATGAAGGAAGTGCGCAGTGACCTCCAGGGAAGACTGAAGGGTATGAGTGGGGTTCTGTTAACATCTGCTGCAGATGGATAGAAGTGATGGACAAAAGGAAAATTCTAGAACCTATACCAGTGAAATGGATGTTAATTTCCAGAAAAATAAAGCCTATTATTTTTTGAACTCTGAGAGAAAAACCAATGAAACTAAATCGTTCTCTGTTCTTGATTTAGAAGCTCATATGGTCAACAATTTTTCTATATCCTACAGACAAAAATGGATGAAAGTGCAGATGGACAAATATACAGGTAACTGATCAACAGTACTAAGCACACTGATGAGTTATTCTTTGTCATCCTAGTTTGGTAGGTCTAGCCCTTTAAAGCTAATTTCTCTTCTATTTAAAAATATAAAAAAGATCTTGTGCCCACATGTGGATTTTGATATGTCCTTTAACTTAGGCAAGTGTGCCTTGTCAATCATGAATATCTTTGACCTAGATGAAGGTGTCTAGTGGCATGCCCTAAAGCTCTGTCTTGCACTGTTTTGTTTTTTAATAATTGCTTTGGATGAAGACACAGAAGGCATACGTGAACACTTTCTGTCCTATGGCTGCTATGAGAGATCACACAACTGGGTTCAATATAGCTCTCAACAGACTGGAATGATGACCTGAACCTAATGGTTGATTTTATTAAGGAGGAAATGGAAAATTCTGCACAGAGGTTCAAACAATAAAAATATGCCAGCACAAGATGGGGCGTGTCTGGTTTACAATAGTTCCTGTAAGAAAGACCTCGGGCTTTTAATTTCTTACGAGCTCAAAATGAGCTAATTTATTTCAGCTGCCAAAAGACCTGATGGAATCTTAGATGTTAGACATAAAATCTTTATGTCCAGGCCAAAGAGGTTCCACTCTGTGTCTCACTAGTTCAGTTTTATTGGGTGGACTGTGCTCTTTCCCAAAAGCATAGCATTTGAGCTAGTGAGAACATTAGAGGCCACTTAGATCTGGTTCCTTAGCCCAAGTGCATGCACCTATGGTGGTCAGGTGTGCCAGGCTTGCAAGAAACCATAGGATAAATATGTTGAACCTTCAAGGATCCCAATATTACTGATTTGGTGAGGGAGAGATTAAAGTTACTCAAGAGTTGAATAGTTTGAAAAATGATTTATAGGTTAAACTACGTATTATGGTATTATTATTATTCAAGCCACATTTGCGATATTTATAAAATATTGACTATGAAACTCCCATAAAGTTTTAAGTTAAAATTTGAGACTTCAAAGAAATTTAAGGTTGCAGGTGAAATGGTGACTTTTGAGAATCTTTCCAGAATTCTCAAAGCCACAAGTTCAGTCTCTTCTGCAGGTACTTTCATTCAACAAATATTTGCTTAGCACCTACTGCATTTAAAGCACTGATCTAAGTGCTTAAGATATATCAGTGAGCAAACTAACACAGAGTTCTGTCTTTCAGAAAACTCATAAGTAGGAAAGTTTAAGAAGCACAGTTTATCTTTATTTAACAGGTGAAAAGGTTAAGAGACATGGAGTCAGTCCTGAGTTTTATTCCTAGTTTTACCATTTGCTACCTCTGTTATCTTAAGCAATTTTTTACTTTATTAGGTTTCAGTTTTCTCATCTATATAATGGTAGAACAAGACCTATTTACTTCATTGATGAGAATATTCAATGACCTAACGCACAGTGCTTGGGAAAGTGTCTCATCTAGAGTACATGTTCATTAGGGCAACAGATGATGGTTATTATTACAGAGGTCAGGTGGCTTGCCTAAAGCCATACTGTTAGCGATAGATTTGTACTCAAACTTTTCTTCTGATTCCCACTCCTGAGCTCTTTTTGTAACAACACAATTCTGTATGATATAACCTAGAAAACAAATAAGACTTATTTGTACATTTTTATTATTAAAATAATTTACAGTAAGAAAAAAGTTAGGAAAACACACAGATACAGAAAATGAAACAAGAAAAAAGAAAAACACAACTATATAGAATTTTAATTACAATTGTGAAGTAATTTGTCAGCCCTCTTTTTAAAAGTTTATTTTTCAATTACAGCTTATATTTAATATTATTTTTTATTTCTTTCAGGTACAGCATAGCGGTTAGACAATCATATACTTTACAAAGTGACCACCCTGATATTTCCAGTACCCACCTGGCACCGTACATCGTTATTACAATATTATTGACTATATTGACTGTGCTGTACTTTCCATCCCTGTGACTATTTTATAATCACCAATTTGTACTTCTTAATCCTTTCACCTTTTTACCCAGCCCCCAAACCCCTTCCTCTCTGGCAACCATAAAATCTGTTCTCTGTATCTATGAGTCTGTTTCTATTTGGTTTGTTTATTTTGTTCTTTAGATTTCACATATAAGTGAAATCATATGGTATTTGTCTTTCTCTGTCTGACTTCACTTAGAATAATACCTTAGATATCCATCATGCTGTTGCAAATAGTAAGATTTAAAAAAAATCTTTATTGTTGAGAGAATTACAGATGCCCCCCCCCTTGGCCCCTCCACCCTGTTCCTGCCCAGGCATTTACTGCACTATTGTGTGTGTCCATTAGTTATGCATATTTGCATATAATATCTTCAGCTAATCTCTTCCTGCCCCCAGCCTTCCCTCTAAGATTCATCAGTCTGTTCCCTGCTTCCATGATCTATTTTGTTCATCAGTTTACATTGTTCATTAGATTCCACATATAAGTGAGATCGTGTGATACTTATCTTTCTCTGACTGCCTTATTTCACTTAGCATAATACTCTCCAGGTCCCTCTATGCCAGTGGTTCTCAACCTTCCTAACGCCGTGGCACTTTAATACAGTTCCTCATGTTGTGGTGACCCCAACCATAAAATTATTTTTTTGCTACTTCATAACTGTAATTTTGCTACTGTTATGAATTGTAATGTAAATATCTGATATGCAGGATGTATTTTCCTTGTTACAAATTGAACAGAACTAAAGCATAGTGATTAATCAAAAAAACAATATGTAATTATATATTGTGAAATATTTATTTCTAATTACAAATAAATGACATTTTGTCTTGAAGCATGGTGTAGCATGGGTAACAGTCTTAATATAACAACAGTAAACTACATTGCTACATTTTGCAACAGCATGCATAAAAAGCCAAGGTCAGTGCGAAGGTTGAGATCGCTTCTTTCTCATCAGATCAGAAATTCTTGGGGCAGTCTTTGCAAGAGCACAGCGAAGATCATCTTCCACAAGTCTACTTCTGTATTTAGACTTGATAACCAACAAGCTGGAGAACCCTGTTTCACAAAGATATGTTGTTGGAAATGGAAGAAGAAGGTGCGACACAGTCTCAGACAGAACAGGGTATGACTGCAAACACTTGATTCAGAATTTTGTAACTGGCATTGTAGAGAAATCAGTTCTCGCTGCATCGCTGTTAATACGTTCAATGAACTCCTCTTGTGCTGTCTCAGAAACATCTTCAACTTTAACTGTGAATGGGCTTCTGGCAAGTGCAAATGGGGTGTCAGGTAGATTTGGAAAGTACAATGAAATTTCATCTGCAAGCAACTGCAAGTGTTCTTTCACAGAAATTATCATCGTAATCTTTTTGTCTGGTTCGATGTCATGTTTCTCAAACAAAGCAGATAAGGTAGGCAACATGTAAATTTTATTTTCATCCAGTTTTTTTTTTTTTTTTTGCCAAAGCTGAAGTTTCATTTGGAATGATCAGGTCTTTTCAGACAAATCAAGGCATGTTGCATTTGATCCTTGCAGTGATAAATTTAACTCATTCAAGATGGCAAAGATATCAACCAAGTAAGCTATTTTCTGCAGTTCACTTTTATCGCTGAAAAGTGCTTCAAACTGCGGTCTTACTTTCTGATTAAAAAACATTTGAGTTCATCACGAAGCTCAAAAACAAATTTTAAAACTTTTCCTGTTGACAACCATCTCACTTCAGTGTGAAATAGCAGAGCATTGTTCGGTGCATCCAACTCGTTGCACAGTTGCGAAAACAGTTGACTGTTTAAAGTGCTCTCACCTTTACAAAATTGACAGAACGTATGACCCTTTTCATTACTTCTTGTAACTCTTGTGGCAGCGTCTTTATTGCTAATATTTGCCAATGAATTATACAGTGAGTTCTGATGACTTTTGGTGACTCATTCAGTACCAAAGTTGAAATCCAGATCAACATCCTAGCATAGCACCATCTGTGCAAACACCACAAACTTTTCCCCAAGAGATCTTACGCTCTTTCAGAAATGAACCAACTGTGTCAAATACATTACATGCAGTAGTTGTCAGTTCAAGAGGTTTGCAAAAAAAAAAAAAAACCTCATCTTTAAAGTCACCATCATTAATATACCTCACGTAAGCCAGTAACTGTGAACAGTTTGCAATGTCTGCAGATTCATTAAGCTGGATGCTAAATATTGGAAGTGGAGCAGATTTAATTTCCTGGATTACCTGACCAAGAATATCAGCAGACATGTCATCTATTCTTCTGCAGATAGTGTTGTTAGATAAGGAAATTGCACTCAATTTCGTAACAAATTTGTCTCCGATCATAACTTGAACAATGTCTTTGGCCGCTGGCAACAGTAAATCCTCAGCAATGGTATGAGGTTTCATAGCTCTGGTGATTCTGAGTGCCACCAAATATGAAGTTTCGATGGCTGCTATGTTTTGTTTGTGGTACTTGCCACCAGTGTCAAGTCTGGCTTTATTGGGTCCATCAGCTTTGCTTCTAAAATAGTTGGTATCCTTGCTGGCAAAGCTCAGATGCTTGCTATACAAATGGTGTTTTAGTTTGTTGGCTTCATAGATTTGGCTGATAGAACTTCACAACAAATAACACATTGTGAAATTCCTGTTGTAATTATTGAGGTAAAAACATACTGTAAAAAATCCTAACTACATTTTCTTTTCAGCATTCTTCTCTACACAATCCATTGTCATGGGATGGTTTGCTAATGAAAATAATATATAATAATAGCTTTAATAATACAAAAGATGATATATGGCATAGTTTAATCAGTACAGTTCATTAAAGTTTCCTATGATTTACTATTCTCTGTGTTTTTTGTTTTTTGTTTTTAACATATCTGTTACTATCACAAGGGGCCAGTATTCACATAAACCACAGCTGAATATAAAAAGACTGATCAGCATCCAGATTAAGTTCCTATGGTACAGATATTTTTTTTGCAGTAGTTGATTATACAGTATATGATTTTACATTTACCCAGTAATTATAATTCATGAAGTGTTGTTTTACCTCCA